GAGTGGACAGGTGAAACTTTACTCCTCCTCCAGAACCAGGACTGATTAAAGCTGATTGATCAGATTAGTAAATAAAACTGGCTTTTAGTTGATGCACTTGGTAAAAGAAAGGTTAATTTTAATAAATCTATAAATAACCTGCACATAAATTCTAATTCTTTTTTGCCCTTGTTACATTTCATCTCCGTTCTGGTTTAGATTGTGTTGATCATAAAGTCTTGTTGGACCGGTTAGGAAACTATKTTTTCTGGTCCACTCTTAAACTTTTTATGCATTCAATCCAGATAGGTTTGGGTTCATCGTTGATTAATTCTGACACAGTGGGTGCTGTTTGTGATGTACCCTGAGGTACAAATATGTTGTAGAAAAAGTTCTATTTGTTAAAGTATGTGGTTAATTTTTGTATCATTATCAACATAATTTTATTTTACATTTATGAACTATTTACGTTTATAAATGTTTTGTTCATCATGTCAAGCACATAGAGCTGTTTTATACATCAAACGAACTTTATAAAGTTGAGTTGACATAAAGTCTTTGGAAGCAAGTCTTCAGTGTTTTATTATCTTACATAAAACTTAGATGGGATGTAAAGAATATGTAATAATGACCACAAAACCCTTTGAATCACTGTCAAAGTTTTTCTGCTGACCTGAGCTTCACATTTTGGTGCTGACCTGAAAACTAAACTTTACACAAAGTTCATTATTTCTAAATCTGTTCAAAAGAGTTTTTCCACAAATATAAAAAATATCCACAGCAGAATAAGCTCTTTCTATAAACATGACTGCAGTGTAATGGAAAGTGTATTAAAGTGATGTAAAAATATTGACCCAATCAGTCCCACCTTTATCAGTTTCCAAGCCTCCAAATAGCGACAGAAACATTGAACAGCTCGACACGCAGCCAGAACTGTGGCTGTTTATTTTGTCTGCTGTCAGTTCAATCCCAAACCACAGAAATGAAATCATTTTTATTCCAGCGTATTGAAAAGACAAACAAGGAGTTACTTTGTTGTGGTGGAATCAGAGACACGTTTTTAACAGCACAGAAACAGACATGTTGCTTTAACAGATAAGTGATCCGAGTCTCGCTGCCAAACCTAAACAAATTCCATCTCAGACAGCTCACCTTCATCTGATCCTCTATCTGGGGTGGGGGTGGGGGTGTCCTACAGCCTCTCATGTCAGCAAAATGAAAACAAACCAGTTGTAGCACTCTGAAAAGAAATTCTATAAGCTTTCTTGTTTTATTTTTTCATTTCTTAGTATTTCCCCCCCTTAAAACAGATCTGGAGCACCAATTTATCATAAATGAAAACAGTCAGGAAACAAAACATCCTCCATCTCCATCGTTTCTCCACTTCTAGAACTAAAATAAGGAYTTTTATTAAAAATCCACGTTTTAGTTTTTGTTTGTTACTTTTGTGCTCCGCAGAGCTGATGAGCTGATGGGAAGATTAAAGTGAGAGTCACTTACTGAAGTTAAAAGAGTTGAAGCTGCTGCTGCTAAAWTGTTGGAACCTGTCTGGCTCCACTTCATTCTATCTAAGAAGAGTTTTTTCAAACTGATTAAATAAGATCGTGCTGGATTTGAGCTTTTTAACRTTTCKTCTCATCGACACATCTTATATATTMRACGTTCARGTTCGGCTTTAGAGAATATAGTTTTCAATGAAAAGTCTGGTGACCTTAAATGAATGCATATCGCCCCCTACCTCTCAGCCCAGCTTTAAAGGCACAGTGTGTAGGATTTGTTGTTTTCAGCGACATCTAGTGGTTGAGTGGTTGAATCATCCTCCCTGGTCCTCCCCCCACCCCCACCCCCCGCTTCCAAACACAAAGGAGTTGCTACGGTGTCTCTCAGGTGTCAAAAACCTTTGATAATTCCAGCCGCAATGTCTACCAGC